GGTTACAGTGTGACCTTACTGTAATGAGAGTGGTTACAGTGTGTGACCTGACTGTAATGAGGATGGTTACAGTGTGTGACCTGACTGTAATGAGCGTGGTTACAGTGTGTGACCTGACTGTAATGAGGGTGGTTACAGTGTGTGACCTGTGTGTGACCTGACTGTAATGAGGGTGGTTACAGTGTGTGACCTGACTGTAATGAGGGTGGTTACAGTGTGTGACCTGACTGTAATGAGGATGGTTACAGTGTGTGACCTGACTGTAATGAGGATGGTCACAGTGTGTGACCTGACTGTAATGAGGATGGTTACAGTGTGTGACCTGACTGTAATGAGGTTGGTTACAGTGTAACCTGTGTGTGACCTGACTGTAATGAGGATGGTTACAGTGTGTGACCTCACTGTAATGAGGATGGTTACAGTGTGTGACCTGACTGTAATGAGGATGGTTACAGTGTGTGACCTGACTAATGAGGATGGTCACAGTGTGTGACCTGACTGTAATGAGGATCGTTACAGTGTGTGACCTGACTGTAATGAGGTTGGTTACAGTGTAACCTGTGTGAACTGACTGTAATGAGGATGGTTACAGTGTGTGACCTCACTGTAATGAGGATGGTTACAGTGTGTGACCTGAATGTAATGAGGATGGTTACAGTGTGTGACCTGACTGTAATGAGGGTGGTTACAGTGTGTGACCTGACTGTAATGAGAGTGGTTACAATGTGTGACCTGACTGTAATGAGGGTGGTTACAATGTGTGACCTGACTGTAATGAGGGTGGTTACAATGTGTGACCTGACTGTAATGAGGGTGGTTACAGTGTGACCTGACTGTAATGAGGGTGGTTACAGTGTGTGACCTGACTGTAGTAAGGGCTACAGTGTCTGACCTGACTTTAGTGATGGTGGTCACAGTGTTTGTCAGGCATCTGGCTGTAATGAGAGTGTAACATAATGCTGATCGATGTCATCAGCCACTGGTCTCTGTGGCAAGAACACAAACTGTGGAGACACAGAGGAAATATTACTGACAGCTGTATTCAAACTCACTCGTTCAGAATGCGACAGGTCTGTTTGAGGCAATAAATCTTATTCTGAAATCTTCATGGGGATTCTTTATTTTAAAACCTCTCAGGTAATATTTTCTGGTTCTGAGATGCAAGTAAGGAATCAGTGGATTGCATGTCACTGTGCCCCAGTGTGGATCATACAGAAATCAATCACTGGCTATTCTGGTCCAGCTGAGTATTTACAGACTGCTTTCAGGTAGCTGGAATATTGATGACTGGAATTAACAACAAACAAGTAATGTGCAAATATGTGATATATCTGCAGTAACCCCGTCAAGGACTGTATCGATTGGATCATAATGTAATTTGCTGGAGCTCACGCTTGTTATTATCAGTCTTACCACAGGAGGTGGTGGTTCCCTGGATATTGTTATTGCCTTGTGATAATTGCCCTGTGTGACCATGCAGTACCAAGCGTTAAATGGACAGGTGTTTGTTGTAGGAGTGTTTACTAGACAGGTGTTTGTTGTAGGAGTGTTTACTAGACAGGTGTTTGTTGTAGGAGTGTTTACTAGACAGGTGTTTGTTGTAGGAGGGTTTACTAGACAGGTGCCTGATGGTGTGTTTGGTAGACAGGTGTTTGTTGTAGGAGTGTTTACTAGACAGGTGCCTGATGTAGGAGTGTTTGGTAGATAGGTGTTTGTTGTAGGAGTGTTCACAAGACAGGTGCCTGATGTAGGAGTGTTTGGTAGACAGGTGTTTCTTGTAGGAGTGTTCACTAGACAGGTGTTTGTTGTAGGACTGTTTACTAGACAGGTGTTTGTTGTAGGAGTGTTTACTAGACAGGTGCCTGATGTAGGAGTGTTTACTAGACAGGTGTTTGTTGTAGGAGTGTTTGCTAGACAGGTGTTTGTTGTAGGAGTGTTTACTAGACAGGTGTTTGTTGTAGGAGTGTTTACTAGACAGGTGTTGTAGGAGTGTTCACTAGACAGGTGTTTGTTGTAGGAGTGTTTACTAGACAGGTGTTTGTTGTAGGAGTGTTTACTAGACAGGTGTTTGTTGTAGGAGTGTTTACTAGACAGGTGCCTGATGTAGGAGAGTTTGGTAGACAGGTGTTTGTTGTAGGAGTGTTTACTAGACAGTGTTTGTTGTAGGAGTGTTTACTAGACAGGTGTTTGTTGTAGGAGTGTTTACTAGACAGGTGTTTGTTGTAGGAGGGTTTACTAGACAGGTGTTTGTTGTAGGAGGGTTTACTAGACAGGTGTTTGTTGTAGGACTGTTTACTAGACAGGTGTTTGTTGTAGGAGTGTTTACTAGACAGGTGTTTGTTGTAGGAGTGTTTACTAGACAGGTGTTTGTTGTAGGAGTGTTCACTAGACAGGTGTTTGTTGTAGGAGTGTTTGCTAGACAGGTGTTTGTTGTAGGAGTGTTTACTAGACAGGTGTTTGTTGTAGGAGTGTTTACTAGACAGGTGTTGTAGGAGTGTTCACTAGACAGGTGTTTGTTGTAGGAGTGTTTACTAGACAGGTGTTTGTTGTAGGAGTGTTTACTAGACAGGTGTTTGTTGTAGGAGTGTTTACTAGACAGGTGCCTGATGTAGGAGAGTTTGGTAGACAGGTGTTTGTTGTAGGAGTGTTTACTAGACAGGTGTTTGTTGTAGGACTGTTTACTAGACAGGTGTTTGTTGTAGGAGTGTTTACTAGACAGGTGTTGTAGGAGTGTTCACTAGACAGGTGTTTGTTGTAGGAGTGTTTACTAGACAGTGTTTGTTGTAGGAGTGTTTACTAGACAGGTGTTTGTTGTAGGAGTGTTTACTAGACAGGTGTTTGTTGTAGGAGTGTTTACTAGACAGGTGTTTGTTGTAGGAGGGTTTACTAGACAGGTGTTTGTTGTAGGACTGTTTACTAGACAGGTGTTTGTTGTAGGACTGTTACTAGACAGGTGTTTGTTGTAGGAGTGTTTACTAGACAGGTGTTTGTTGTAGGAGTGTTTACTAGACTGGTGCTTGATGTAGGAGTGTTTGGTAGACAGGTGTTTGTTGTAGGAGTGTTTACTAGACAGGTGCTTGTTGTATGAGTGTTCAATAGAAAGGTGTTTGTTGTAGGAGTGTTCACAAGACAGGTGTTTGTTGTAGGAGTGTTTACTAGACAGGTGCTTGATGTAGGAGTGTTTGGTAGACAGGTACTTGGTGTAGCTGTGTTCACTAGTCAGGTGCTTGTTGTATGACTGTTCACTAGACAGGTGCTTGATGTAGGAGTGTTCACTAGACAGGTGCTTGATGTAGGACTGTTCACTAGACAGGTCTTTGATGTAAGGGTGTTCACTAGACAAGTGCTTGTTGTAAGAGTGTTCACTTCACAGTTGCTTGATGTAGGAGTGTTCACTAGACAGGTGCTTGATGTAAGGGTGTTCACTAGACAAGTGCTTGTTGTAAGGGTGTTCACTTCACAGTTGCTTGATGTAGGAGTGTTCACTAGACAGGTGCTTGATGTAAGGGTGTTCACTAGACAAGTGCTTGTAGGAGTGTTCACTTCACAGTTGCTTGATGTAGGAGTGTTCACTTCACAGTTGCTTGATGTAGGAGTGTTCACTAGACAGGCGCTTGATGTAGGAGTGTTTACGGGACACTGGAGCATTCAGTAGATATCATAGGAGTGGGACATGTGATGGGGTATGGGAGACTTGCAACAGGGGTGGTGAGATGAGGGACAGTCTTCCTGTCCAGCAGATGTGAAGATGTTGAACTGTCTGGTTCTTCTAAGCAAAGACACAACTCAATTCACCACTTGGTGCAATGTGTAACCCCTTCTGTTGTGGCCTGCTGTGATATTGCTGGAATGTTACTAGAAAAAATGAAAAGCCAAACTCCTTCCTCACTCACTCAGTCACATGGTGCATCGACCTTGTCACATTTCGATTGTTGCATGATTGGTCCTGGACTCTTGGGAAATGTTTGACAGCTGTGCTGCCATCCCCTGATATTCTAGATTCTCATCCCAGGTCTAGCCAGTGTCATTAATCTGTTGGCCTTGTGTATATCTCATCCCAGGTCTAGCCAGTGACATTAGTCTGTTGGCCTTGTATATATCAGGGACTGGCCATTTGTTGTATGGGATGCGGAGTTTTTTGTGTTGTATTGGTCCTAGGATTGTACCTCTTGCAGAGCTACACAAATACATGTAATTGCATGCCCTAAAAATAATACACACTACTGAATGCAAGCTTGCACATCATCCAGTCCTTTACATGTAACAGTGAATGACGTACATCACTTTGGACTTCCTTGGCACAAGAAGCCTCATATAACTGATATATTTTGTGTACAAATCTCCCTCTCCTCCCTTTACCTCAACCCCCCTTCTCCCTACCTTTCCTCCTGTCCCTTCCCCCTACGTCCTCTCCTTCCCTCTGCCCCCACCTCCCTCCGCCTCCCTCCCTGTCCTCCCACGCCCTCTCCTTTCCCCTGCGTCCTCTCCTTCCCTCTGCCCCCACCTCCTCCGGCTCCTCCCTGTCCCCCTCTCCTTGTCCCACGTCCTCTCCTTCCCTGCCCCACCTCCTCTCCTTCCTGTCCCTCGTCCTCCTCCTTCCCCACCTCCTTCCGCCCTCCCTCCCTGTCCTTCCTGTCCCTCTCCTCTCCTACGTCCCCTCCCCTATGTCCTCCTTCCCTCTGCCCCCACCTCCCTCCCTCCCTCCTGTCTCGTCCCTCCTTACTCCCTACTCCTCTTACTCACTCACAGTCACCGTTCATTAATTGTGATGTAGGATTGTAAATGGCAAATATACTGTAGCCGTTAATGCTCTCTAGCTCTGCACGATGGGATCTTAGTGCTGGGAATAAGAGAGCTCCACTGTTAAACATACACTTACAATACGGCCCATCGATTCATGGTGCAGATACCTGCTTGTAAACAGACATCTCCTTGGAATGACTTCTCTCCAGGAATGTGTTGCTGGAATGTGTTGCTGAAGTGTGTGGAACAACCATGTTGCAGGAATGTGTTGCTGAAGTGTGTGGAACAACCACGTTGCAGGAATGTGTGTGGAACAACCACGTTGCAGGAATGTGTTGCTGAAGTGTGTGGAACAACCATGTTGCAGGAATGTGTGACTGGAATGTGTGTGGAACAACCATGTTGCAGGAATGTGTGACTGGAATGTGTGTGGAACAACCATGTTGCAGGAATGTGTGTGGAACAACCACGTTGCAGGAATGTGTGACTGGAATGTGTGTGGAACAACCACGTTCTGTGTGAAAACATGAAGCACCATCATCAATGATAATGACTAAAGGGAAATATTTAATTCGTTTAGAAATTGATAAATGCCAGATTGATTTTTCAAAGCAGGTTCATGTGAGATCTTTGAAGATTATTCCCACTAACTCAGCTTGACGACTCAGTCCCACCCCATATGGTGCTTCAAATTAGTCCTTCCAGTTCATATCTTATCCGACTAGAAAACAAGTTGAGGGCATTTCAGCCGCTAGATGTGGATATAAGTACTATCATTGTCTCCAGCAGTATTGATCTGTGTGATAGATGTGGAGGACCAGTCTTTACAGGCCCAGCTATCGGAACTCGCTTGATTCTGTTGTCCTGTGAAGAGAGTTGATTTGACATCCTGCACTCTCAGCACTTGGTTTCAATATCAAACAGAGGCTAAGTTTTCACCTGTCTCATCAGGGACATCATTACAGTTCAAGAGTATCAGTGTTGATTGATCAATATGGTAGAATATGATCTTATCGTATCATTTACTTTTTCATTTGGTTTCACTGGCATCAGGATATTGGGTTTGTGTTGTGAAGGAGTGAGTGAGGCTGCTTTTTATGTACCTTTAGCAATGCATTGGAGAAATGTATGGTATAGGAAGTAGAGTGTTATGGAGGGAAATGTGACATCCCAGCTGAGATACAAATTGGTGATACCATGGCCTTTTGTCAAGTCCAGCCACAAACAAGCAGGTTGACATTTCTCAAGACATTTAAGAGAATCACACCAGCAAATCAGTGTTTCGTATTGATTCCCTTGAAAATAAGTCTGTCACAACATGGCGTGAAACCAATAAAAAAACTATTCTTGCATTATTAACAATAATTATTGTGTTATATTGAACAATAATTAAATATTCTGGAATTAACCAAGTTATAGAAATCAATACATGTCACTCCAAAGGATGTACAATGGCAGTACAAACTTGAGTGGGAATAATGATGAAGACAGAGACGCTAACATTCACCTCACTGCACAGTAGTCTGTCTTCTCAAAGGGGGTTAAAGTACTCTAAACTTACTGTCCTCTATGTATGTCCCAACACTTTCAAAGTACATTTAAACTTACAAAGATTTTTAAACGTAGCATTTTTGTGATTTTAAATTATGGGTTAACTTTCCTACAATCGCCAGCACGCTGAAGGTATGGTGTAAATCCAACTAGGGTCCATGCAGGTAGCAAAAGTACTGTAAGTCCCCATGGTCCCTGGTATGGTCATCTACCTTCAGTTGCTGGCAACCTACAGCCTGTTTTTATCTTACATTGTCATTTATAGTTAAAATATTTTAGATTTATTTACTAGTTTTAAATTTGATCTGTAATAATCTAGTTGTTTTACTGTCCTTCGTTGACAGGTTTTTAAATTTACTTTCAATTGGTATATATCTATCATTTGAATTAGTCACGATATGGCTGAAACATTGCCGATGTGACTTAAAATCTTAACTCACTCACTGCTCAATAGTTAGTAGCTTCCAAAACAGATCTGGGCTGAGTATCCAGGGTGAAAAATGATCTCAACACAACTGTTGGTCTTCTTGTAATGTGTGCGAAGCCCATTTCTGGTGTCCCCTGCCGTGAAATTGTTGGAATATTGCTAAAAGCGGCATAAAACCAAACTCACTCACTCACTCACTCTTGTAATGTGAAATGTAGTGTGAGATGACTGGGGCAAAAGCATGACCCTTATGTATTGTGTAACTGTCCTGAAACTTTCCATAATATTCTAGGTTGGACAATGCTGGAAAGGCCAGTGTGGTTGTAGTCTAAACAGCACAAGTCAAAATGGAGCACACCACTCCTCAGCTGAATGTCAACAGAAATAATGCAATCTACTTTAAACACATTTCCACAAAAAATAACACTGCAACATGACAGCAGCCATAACCTGGACAGGATGTTTGTTGCTTTCTTTTGTGCTTTCTGTGAGAGAGCTGTATGGACACAGTCTTTCATTACCAGAATTGTCATTCAGGTGGTACTGACCAAGTGGTTCCAGGGTCATTGGGTACTCCTTACTGCAAGGGAGACCAAGGTCATTTGGTTCTTATTGTATGGGAGACCAAGCTCATCGGGTACTTACTGTATGGGAGACCAAGGTCATCGGGTATAGTCTGTTTGCAGTGAAAACGTACCAATGAATTTCAATTTAAAAAAAAAGTAAATCAAATAGAGTGAAATTAAGATTGTGAATCCTCATAATTTTACCTTGCCAACTGAACATTTAAATCTCAGGAGTTTACTCATCTTAGGATAAAAGTTGTTTAACATATGATCATACATTCAAATTTAATGTCATCGGGTACTTATGGGTACTTACGGTATGGGAGACCAATGTCATTGGGTACTTACTGCATCGGAGATTGATGTCATCAGGTACCTGCCGATTGGGGGACCAAGGTCATCAGGTACCTACTGTATAGGCGACCAAGGTTATTGGGTACCTACTGAATGGTAGATCAAGGTCAATGCGTAGTCCTTACTGCATGGGAGACTAAGATCATTAGGTACTTACTGAATGCTAGTCCAAGGTCATTGTGTACCTACAAAATTGACCAAGATCAATGGATACTATTTATTCCTTACTAAGGCATTTATATTGTATAAATGTAGGGCGTTGGGATGGCCTAATTGTTAAAGTGTTAACTCATCAAGTGGAATACCCAGGTTTGATTCCCCACATAGGTTCAATGTGTGAAGGGAATTCAATTTCTGATGTTAAATGATGTAAAACCATATTCTCTTACTCTCACTCTCACTCACTCATCAATAGCATTGGTTCTCATCAAACCAGAACAAGTTGATTGGATACTTTTAATACCGGACTAAGATCGTTGAACTTACTGAATCTGACCAAGGGCATCATGTACTTATTGAAATCAATGAAGTTGATTGGTTGACTGGCCTATTGCAGATTTAATTTGTGTGGTACAGTGGAAGCAGGCCCCTCTATCCGTCTGGTCTAGTATGACATCCCATCTGTATATGAATAATCCAAGGCGTCATGACACGGATGTAATTGCACGCTATTCTGTAAGAGTTCAATATTGACTCGAGTTTTTCCACAAAGGTGTTAGCTCTGTCAGATGATTTCTTGTTTGAAGCAGTGCACCATAAACACCAGGACATTACACGCAAAAATATTTACCTCGTTAACTAAAAAGCCAGTGAACAGGGTAAGGCATGGATTTGTCTACAGCTGGCTGGTAGTTGGACAGAGAGTGCAAGCTGTCATGTTTGCCAGAGACTGAGTCAAAGGCATCAATAAACTTGGACACATTTCCTGCTTCTTTAGGAACAAAGGACAACTCATTACTCAGCAGTTGGGGAGCATTTCAAGACTCTTCATTTAGCCGGGGTTGTATGCGTCTAAAACTCTGCACCAGCGCATGTACCATGCAAATAGGCAGTTCTTTATTTGACATACCGACATCCCAATAACATAAGTAGGAACACTGTATTTCATTGCGAGAACAACCCCGGAGTATAATATGGAGTAGATTAAGTAATTGAACATGTCTGAGCTGCATGAATAAAATTTAAGGCCTTCATTTCTTGAATATTCTGGTTTTTATATCTCTGAGCCTTAGTGTTGACATTCACACATTCAACATTTCAGGGACAGATTGAGCTTGCATTCTTTGTTTCGGGTTTAAAGCAATATTCACGCAATATCACGCCAGGGGAAATTTGGAGAACCAAAACATGGCTTTTGACATGAAAGGTTGAACAAAGGAGGCTATCCCAATTTCGCTGTTTGCCTGGATGTGTCCAGAAGGAATACCAATAAGCTTATTTGTGATGCTATGGAATGAATGTCTTTGTCCTGGAAGCCTTTGTGGCAACACAACAATGTGTTCCATTTCAATAGATATAGACGATTTTAACTTCATTGTGGAAGAAATTACTGGATGAAAAATACAATTATGGGATGAATATAAGATTCAGAAGGTCCTGTCATGCTATGTCTAGTTCGGAAATGGGACACTAATTGTATGTTTAATGATTATGTGTAGATCCATGCTGTATGTTTATTTTCTGTGTCTGACCTCAAGTTTCAACAAATTCAACAGTGTGATTACATGTACGAGAATACTTTCCATTCAGATTGAAGATATCCTGTGAATATTTGTTCTCTCAACTGAGCACAGCGCCTCTCGTCACATTAAATGATATCAGACCAATGTTGGTGATATCCAGGGAAATGCACCCCGGGGATACAACCTTGGTCTAGTAAGCCGTGAGAGCACAAGGACCGCTCTGAAAATCTACTGCTCTGAATATTACATCTTTCAGATTTCCTTCTCCAGCTTGAAGACACTAGAACTCACTGATTCAGAAAATGATCACATGATGTGCGATGTCTATAATGAAACCAAAATGGCACTGAATGCTTGTTGAGGCTGGGAGATGTTCACCACTGCATCATTAAACCATCCTTCGACCACAGGCTTCCTGATCTGAAGATGGCAGTAAAAGATCTTGAAATGATTAGGGATTTCAAAGCCACACAGACATGGGGTTCCTGGAGGACGGATCAGTTTGGTATTTAATGATCAGACAGTTTTTTTCAAGATTTGGTTCATGGCATTGTTTTGTGTAATTACCAAGGAAAATATGTGAACATGCTGTGGCATTCTGACTTGTAGAGGATCTTGTTCCTGGTTTAGAATTTTAACTATTTATTAAAGGCCTTTTCATGAGAAGCTGGCTAAATGTAACAATGTCTGATCCAGCTAGTATTTTTCGACTCATCATGTTATATAGGTGAGGAGGATAAAACTTGATGAAGAAATGCATCCTAGAACTATCTCTGTACGTTGGGCAGCTTGATATTGCTAATCAATCGGCCACATGATTTCCACATTATGATTGCTACATTGGCCACATATAAGGATCACATTCAAGTAATACACTCCTGATTTACTGGGAATCTGTTGCAAATAATGGTGTGATATCTCAGTTAGAATTGGTCCTCAGCAACCTGAGAAGACACAGTCGATGAGGTGGGCTGGTTTGTTGACTTGGTTAGTGGGTGATATCACCAGTCACTGGATTGTCTGACCCATTTTTGATTATTTGCAGGCAGTATTATTCCACAGCTATCCATGTACCACCACAACTACACCAACATACCACCACAACTACATCAACATACCACCACAACTACATCAACATACAACAACAGCATGTATCCACAGCACAACACCACGGCAACAGCATATTACCTCAACCACAGCAATACAAAACAACCATAGCATCACAAAACTACCAAAATAATGAGGAAGGGTAACAATATATGGATGAACAACTTCTTTATTGCAGTCAGAGCGACATTTTGACATTTCGGTGTAGGTTCTAACACTGTTATCAAGCAAGTTGTATCACTTGCTTGATAATGGTGTTAGAACCTACACCGAAACGTCGCTCTCACAGCAATAGAGAAGTTGTTCATCCATATATTGTTATCTTTCCTTACTGCTCCAACTTCTAAATGCCTCTCAAAGAAGTTACCAGAATAATACGACTGCCACAACACACTTCAGCACACTACAGCATACCACAACACACTACAGCATACCACAACACACTACAGCATACCACAGCACATTACAGCATACCACATCACACTACAGCATACCACAGCACACTACAGCATACCACAGCACACTACAGCACATTACAGTATACCACATCACACTACAGCACATTACAGTATACCACAGCACACTACAGTATACCACAGCACACTACAGCAAACCACATCACACTACAGCACATTACAGCATACCACATCACACTACAGCACATTACAGCATACTACATCACACATACAGCACATTACAGCATACCACATCACACATACAGCACATTACAGCATACCACATCACACATACAGCACATTACAGCATACTACATCACACCACAGCACATTACAGTATACCACAGCACACTACAGCACATTACAGCATACCACAGCACATTACAGCATACCACATCATACCACAGCACATTACAGTATACCACAGCACACTACAGCATACCACAGCACATTACAGCATACCACATCACACCACATCATATCACAGCACATTACAGTATACCACAGCACACCACATCATACCACAACACACTACAGCACATTACAGCATACCACAGCACATTACAGCATACCACATCACACCACATCATACCACAGCACATTACAGCATACCACATCATACCACAGCACATGACAGTGTACCACATCACACTACAGCATACCACAGCACACTACAGCATACCACAGCACACCACATCATACCACAGCACATTACAGCATACCACATCATACCACAACACATGACAGTGTACCACATCACACTACAGCATACCACAGCACACTCCAGCATAACACAGCATACCACAGCACATTACAGTATACCACAGCACACTACAGCACATAACAGCATACCACAGCACACTACAGCACATTGCAGCATACCACAGCACATTACAGCATACCACAGCACATTACAGTATACCACAGCACATTACAGCATACCACAGCACACTACAGCACACTTTAGCACATTACAGCATACCACAGCACACTACAGCATACCACAGCACATTACAGCATACCACATCACACCACATCATATCACAGCACATTACAGTATACCACAGCACACCACATCATACCACAACACACTACAGCACATTACAGCATACCACATCACACCACATCATACCACAGCACATTACAGCATACCACAGCACATGACAGTGTACCACATCACACTACAGCATACCACAGCACACTACAGCATACCACAGCACACTCCAGCATAACACAGCATACCACAGCACATTACAGCATACCACAGCACACTACAGCACATAACAGCATACCACAGCACACTACAGCACATTGCAGCATACCACAGCACATTACAGCATACCACAGCACATTACAGTATACCACAGCACATTACAGCATACCACAGCACACTTTAGCACATTACAGCATAACACAGCACATAACAGCATAACACAGCACATTATAGCATACCACATCACACTACAGCATACGACAGCACACTACATCATACCACAGCACATTACAGTATACCACAGCACACTACAGCATACCACAGCACATTACAGCATACCACAGCACACTACAGCACATTACAGCATACCACAGCATACCACCATGGCTGCCATAGACTAACGTTTAGTCTCTGAATATATACAAGTTTGATAGAAACAAACAATTCCTTTTATATTGAAAAGCAGCCCCAGAGAGAAGGGAGATACTGAACCCGAGGAATTATAGACTTGCTTTATTTTGGGCTTTAGCACTGGTCTGGGTGTAAGGGGAAATAATGTTGAGGGTCTGTGACTACCACACCATCGAGCCTACTGGAGCTTGCAGTAGCCCTCTGACTTCCTGGACTGGAATAACTCTGAAGTGTCACCTTCTGGCAAGCTATCACATTTAGCCACTGTCTTTCTGGTGAGTTACCTCTAATTTGCAAATTAACAGAAAAACCTTTCTGGGCTTGCAGCGAAGACCTGCCCATGTGAACATGAGATAGACGGATGTTCTTTGCTTCAACTCATCAGAGAAGATTACATCCATGAACACAATCTTTAACATTGTGGTGGTTACCACAGTGATGCTCTCAGTGTTAGTATGGGTCACATTCAGACTTACACATCACCTGGTAGGAGCTTGCTTGTCCACCCTCTCTGTCCTCTGGGACTCTTATCACACCCTGACTCTGGAATCTGTCCTCCTTATCACACCCTGACTCTGGGATCTGTCACACCCTGACTCCCTTATCCTTATCACCCTGACTCTGGATCTGTCCTCTCTTATCACACCCTGACTCTGGAATCTGTCCTCACCCTTATCACCCTTATCACACCCTGACTCTGGAATCTGTCCTCCCTTATCCTGGAATCTGTCCACCCTTATCACACCCTGACTCTGGGAATCTGCTTATCACACCCTGACTCTGGGATCTGCCCACTCTTATCACACCCTGACTCTGGAATCTGTCCTCCCTTATCACACCCTGACTCTGGAATCTGTCCACGCTTATCACACCCTGCTTCTGGGATCTGTCCACCCTTATCACACCCTGCTTCTGGGATCTGTCCACCCTTATCACAACTTCACTCTTGGGTCTGGCCATCCCTTTCATATCACCTACAGGCAAATATTCTACTCTCTGTGCATGTACTACTTTCATAACTCCTACTCTTATCAAATGGTGAAATAGTGCTCCTCAAGTACTAAGTAGCTAGACAAAATATAGAAACTGAACCAATGCCAACATTATTATTATTATTATAGGATATTTATATAGCGCACATATCCATGCAACTTGTGCATGCTCAAGGCGCTGGTATTTTTTCCCATCGATCATTGGATGTCAGTCTCAACGGCACATATCTTATTATCAAACTCAACTTCCTGGGGAGTATACAACTCTTGCAGCCACGAGGCGAACCAAGGTTTTGTGGCTTTCTCATCCTAGCATTGACCTTTAGTCGCTAGTGATAAATCTTGAAATGAAGTGAGGTGAGGTGAGGTGAAATTGGGTTTAACGTCGTGCTTGAGAATATTTCGCTCATATGACGACGTGCATGCGTGTGTATGTGTATGTGCGGCTGCTTGTACTAGCCCAGACTTAGGCTGGTTTTATAGTGCTAGCCCACTGAGATACCATGCCGCAGTGAAGCATGAATACCCCACTCAGACACATTATACTGACTCCAAGCCGACCAGTCCTTGTTGTACCCGTTAATGCCAAGAGCGGGGCAGGGACCAACAAGTACCATATTTTAATGTCTTTTGGTATGTTGGGCCGGGGAATCGAACCCGCGACCTTCCGCTCTCAAGGCGGATGCTCTAACCACTACACCACGAAGGCGGTTCTTGAAATGAAGTAATAATATGTAAAAACCTATTTGTAGATTTGGTATTAGTTCTATTGGTGAAAGGAGTGTGCAAAAATGACAATCCAAGACAAATTAGAATTGTATGCAATTAAAAGAACTATCATTCTGTGAAATCGATACAAAATAAATATGGATATATATTGTTCTGGGATATTCCAGCCCAAAATACATGACATATGATTATACAATGCCAATGTGTTCAGTATGCAACTCCCTGACTGTCAAGACTGTGAAATGTGTTCAGTATGCAGCTCCTGACTGTCAAGACTGTGAAATGTGTTCAGTATGCAACTCCTGACTGTCAAGACAGTGAAATGTGTTCAGTATGCAACTCCCTGACTGTCAAGACTGTGGAATGTGTTGTGAAATGTGTCCAGTATATGCAGCTCCCTGACTGTCAAGACTGTGAAATGTGTTCAGTATGCAACTCCCTGACTGTCAAGACTGTGCAACTGACAGTGAAATGTGTTCAGTATGCAACTCCCTGACTGTCAAGACTGTGAAATGTGTTCAGTATGCAACTCCCTGACTGTCAAGACTGTGAAATGTGTTCAGTATGCAACTCAAGACCCTGACTGTCAAGACTGTGAAATGTGTTCAGTATGCAACTCCCTGACTGTCAAGACTGTGAAATGTGTTCAGTATGCAACTCCTGACTGTCAAGATTGTGAAATGTGTTCTGTGCAACTCCTGACTGTGACTGTGAAATGTGTTCAGTATGCAACTCCTGATGTCAAGACTGTGAAACTCCCTATGCAACTGACTGTCAAGACTGTGAAATGTGTTCAGTATGCAACTCCTGACTGTCAAGACTGTGAAATGTGTCCAGTATGCAACTCCCCTGACTGTCAAGACTGTGAAATGTGTTCAGTATGCAACTCCCCTGACTGTCAAGACTGTGAAATGTGTTCAGTATGCAACTCCTGACTGTCAAGACTGTGAAATGTGTTCAGTATGCACTCTCCTGACTGTCAAGACTGTGAAATGTGTTCAGTATGCAGCTCCCTGACTGTCAAGACTGTGAAATGTGTTCAGTATGCAACTCCCCTGACTGTCAAGACTGTGAAATGTGTTCAGTATGCAACTCCCTGACTGTCAAGACTGTGAAATGTGTTCAGTATGCAACTCCCTGACTGTCAAGACAGTGAAATGTGTTCAGTATGCAGCTCCCTGACTGTCAAGACAGTGAAATGTGTTCAGTATGCAACTCCCTGACTGTCAAGACAGTGAAATGTGTTCAGTATGCAACTCCCTGACTGTCAATGACTGTGTCAAAACTGTGAAATGTGTTCAGTATGCAACTCCCTGACTGTCAGAGATGTGTTCAAATGTGTTCAGTATGCAACTCCCTGACTGTCAAGACTGTGAAATGTGTTCAGTATGCAACTCCCTGACTGTCAAGACTGTGAAATGTGTTCAGTATGCAACTCCCTGACTGTCAAGACTGTGAAATGTGTTCAGTATGCAACTCCTGACTGTCAAGACAGTGAAATGTGTTCAGTATGCAACTCCTGACTGTCAAGACTGTGAAATGTGTTCAGTATGCAACTCCTGACTGTCAAGACTGTGAAATGTGTTCAGTATGCAACTCCCCTGACTGTCAAGACACTGTGAAATGTGTTCAGTATGCAACTCCTGACTGTCAAGACTGTGAAATGTGTTCAGTATGCAACTCCTGACTGTCAAGACTGTGAAATGTGTTCAGTATGCAACTCCCTGACTGTCAAGACAGTGAAATGTGTTCAGTATGCAACTCCTGACTGTCTGTGAAAAGTATGCAACTCCTGACTGTCAAGAGTGAAATGTGTTCAGTATGCAACCCCTGACTGTCAAGACTGTGAAATGTGTTCAGTATGCAGCTCCCTGACTGTCAAGACTGTGAAATGTGTTCAGTATGCAACTCCTGACTGTCAAGACTGTGAAATGTGTTCAGTATGCAACTCCTGACTGTGAAATGTGTCAGTATGCAACTCCCTGACTGTCAAGACTGTGAAATGTGTTCAGTATGCAACTCCCTGACTGTCAAGACAGTGTGAAATGTGTGTCAGTATGCAACTCCTCCTGACTGTCAAGACAGTGAAATGTGTTCAGTATGCAACTCCCTGACTGTCAAGACTGTGAAATGTGTTCAGTATGCAACTCCTGACTGTCAAGACTGTGAAATGTGTTCAGTATGCAACTCCCTGACTGTCAAGAGACAGTGAAATGTGTTCAGTATGCAACTCCTGACTGTCAAGACAGTGAAATGTGTTCAGTATGCAACTCCCTGACTGTCAAGACTGTGGAATGTGTTCAGTATGCAACTCCCTGACTGTCAAGACTGTGAAATGTGTTCAGTATGCAACTCCTGACTGTCAAGACTGTGAAATGTGTTCAGTATGCAACTCCTGACTGTCAAGACAGTGAAATGTGTTCAGTATGCAACTCCTGACTGACTGTCAGTATGCAAGACTGTGAGAATGTGTGTTCAGTATGCAACTCCCTGACTGTCAAGACTGTGAAATGTGTTCAGTATTGCAACTCCTGACTGTCAAGACTGTGAAATGTGTTCAGTATGCAACTCCCTGACTGTCAAGACTGTGAAATGTGTTCAGTATGCAACTCCTGACTGTCAAGACTGTGAAATGTGTTCCCTGACTGTATGCAACTCCCTGACTGTCAAGACAGTGAAATGTGTTTCAGTATGCAACTCCCTGACTGTCAGTGAAATGTGTTCAGTATGCAACTCTCCTGACTGTCAAGACAGTGAAATGTGTTCAGTATGCAACTCCTGACTGTCAAGACTGTGAAATGTGTTCAGTATGCAACTCCTGACTGTCAAGACTGTGAAATGTGTTCAGTATGCAACTCCTGACTGTCAAGACTGTGAAATGTGTTCAGTATGCAACTCCCTGACTGTCAAGACTGTGAAATGTGTTCAGTATGCAACTCCCTGACTGTCAAGACTGTGAAATGTGTTCAGTATGCAACTCCCCTGACTGTCAAGACTGTGAAATGTGTTCAGTATGCAACTCCCTGACTGTCAAGACTGTGAAATGTGTTCAGTATGCAACTCCTGACTGTCAAGACTGTGAAATGTGTTCAGTATGCAACTCCCTGACTGTCAAGACAGTGAAATGTGTTCAGTATGCAACTCCCTGACTGTCAAGACTGTGAAATGTGTTCAGTATGCAACTCCCCTGACTGTCAAGACTGTGATGCAATGTGACTGTGAAAAGTATGCAACTCCTGACTGTCAAGACTGTGAAATGTGTTCAGTATGCAACTCCTGACTGTCAAGACTGTGAAATGTGTTCAGTATGCAACTCCTGACTGTCAAGACAGTGAAATGTGTTCAGTATGCAGCTCCTGACTGTCAAGACAGTGTGAAATGTGTTCAGTATGCAACTCCCTGACTGTCAAGACTGTGAAATGTGTTCAGTATGCAACTCCTGACTGTCAAGACTGTGAAATGTGTTCAGTATATGCAACTCCCTGACTGTCAAGACTGTGAAATGTGTTCAGTATGCAACTCCTGACTGTCAAGACTGTGAAATGTGTTCAGTATGCAACTCTCCTGACTGTCAAGATTGTGAAATGTGTTCAGTATGCAACTCCTGACTGTCAAGACTGTGAAATGTGTTCAGTATGCAACTCCCCTGACTGTCAAGACTGTGAAATGTGTTCAGTATGCAACTCCTGACTGTCAAGACTGTGAAATGTGTTCAGTAAACTCAGCTTCCTGACTGTCAAGTGAAATGTGTTCAACAACCCCTGACTGTCAAGACTGTGAAATGTGTTCAGTATGCAACTCCCTGACTGTCAAGACTGTGAAATGTGTTCAGTATGCAACTCCCTGACTGTCAAGACTGTGAAATGTGTTCAGTATGCAGCTCCCTGACTGTCAAGACAGTGAAATGTGTTCAGTATGCAGCTCCCTGACTGTCAAGACTGTGAAATGTGTTCAGTATATGCAACTCCCTGACTGTCAAGACTGTGAAATGTGTTCAGTATGCAACTCCCTGACTGTCAAGATTGTGAAATGTGTCCAGTATATGCAACTCCCTGACTGTCAAGACTGTGAAATGTGTTCAGTATGCAACTCCCTGACTGTCAAGACAGTGAAATGTGTTCAGTATGCAACTCCCTGACTGTCAAGATTGTGAAATGTGTTCAGTATGCAACTCCCTGACTGTCAAGACTGTGAAATGTGTTCAGTATGCAACTCCCTGACTGTCAAGATTGTGAAATG